ATTATTATTAAAACTTATTTGTTTTATTTACGTATAAACGAGAGTGGATTTGGAAGTGATACTTTAAAGCTCAATATTTCCTTAAGGAATTAGATCGACATAAAGTTTAAACTGAAAACTAAACTTAAAACTTCATAAAGAAAATAGATCGCTTTAAAGCTAGAAATGAATCGCTGATCATAAAAGAAAAAGATCGCTTTAAAGTTCAAAACTTTCTTAAGGATCGTCTTAAACCAAATTGAAGGCTTTAAAGCTCCAAGTAAGAACTAAAAACTATATTAACTCTCTAAAAAGCTATTTTCGAAAGGTTCATAACTATAGCATTGCTAATTTAAATTAAATATTAAAATAAAGTTCAACTCAATTATATACTGCAGTGCGATGACATTTAACTTTAAAAAAGTTTAAATGATTTTTTTATGTCACTCAGGGACAACAGCTGTTTGTTAGTTGAAGCATTATTTTTTGCCACAACCAACTACTACAGGCCTTATAATTATCCTTTTTTGTATAAGAAACATTCACACGTAAACAAGTATAGACTTGTGTGTGTTAATATTTATATATATATACATACGTACATATATGTATATAAATATGTGTCTATGTAACAATAAAATAACAAATACCTAAAGTGCAAGAAAAATTCTTAAAATTTTGTTCATAAATTTTTTGCCAACACTTCTTTTATTGTTAACAACCCAAAAATCAAGTTCAAAATAATTAAAATTACAATAAATTCCAATGATTCTCAAAACATGCAGCGTTAAAAATTCACACACACAGAACAAAACAAAACAAAAAAGATACAAGAGCCTGTGAGTACTTGGAAAACATTTCCTTTTGTCCTTCTCAATTTTAGTTGCTGCTGTTGTACTCGTAGTTGTTAATATACAAACTTTCATCTAATGCAATTATTATGTATATGGAATGTTTATACGTTTGTTTGTTAGTGTGAATGTGTTCTGTACATGTATGGAAGTATGTGTAGAAACACTGTATGTATAAATATGTATATATGGATGTATACATACTGACTTACACAAACGTACTTGTATAATGAAATAACAATGCGGTAAGCTAAAGTGCATAATTAACACTAAAATCGCACGTTAGCAAAAATAATGGCAGTATAAAACACATGCACATACACACATACATACACATGTAAATCACATATATGCATACATACACAAAAGGTTGTGTACTTTTGTATGTATGTATGTACATTGTACATAGGAACAATTCATGTGTATACAATGCATTAAATGTACGTATACATAAATATGTATGTGTAAACACTTAAGAGGGATGTGCGTGGCTGTTTTTGGTCTGCCAACTAAAACTGAACTAGAACTAAACTAGAATTAACCTAGAACTGAAATAGAACTGAACTGGAACTAGAACTGAACTAGAACTGAACTAGAACTGAACTAGAACTGAACTAGAACTGAACTAGAACTGAACTAGAACTGAACTAGAACTGAACTAGAACTGAACTAGAACTGAACTAGAACTGAACTAGAACTGAACTAGAACTGAACTAGAACTGAACTAGAACTGAACTAGAACTGAACTAGAACTGAACTAGAACTGAACTAGAACTGAACTAGAACTGAACTAGAACTGAACTAGAACTGAACTAGAACTGAACTAGAACTGAACTAGAACTGAACTAGAACTGAACTAGAACTGAACTAGAACTGAACTAGAACTGAACTAGAACTGAACTAGAACTGAACTAGAACTGAACTAGAACTGAACTAGAACTGAACTAGAACTGAACTAGAACTGAACTGAACTAGAACTGAACTAGAACTGAACTAGAACTGAACTAGAACTGAACTAGAACTACTGAACTAGAACTGAACTAGAACTGAACTAGAACTGAACTAGAACTGAACTAGAACTGAACTGAACTAGAACTGAACTAGAACTGAACTAGAACTGAACTAGAACTGAACTAGAACTGAACTAGAACTGAACTAGAACTGAACTAGAACTGAACTAGAACTGAACTAGAACTGAACTAGAACTGAACTAGAACTGAACTAGAACTGAACTAGAACTGAACTAGAACTGAACTAGAACTGAACTAGAACTGAACTAGAACTGAACTAGAACTGAACTAGAACTGAACTAGAACTGAACTAGAACTGAACTAGAACTGAACTAGAAACTGAACTAGAACTGAACTAGAACTGAACTAGAACTGAACTAGACTGAACTAGAACTGAACTAGAACTGAACTAGAACTGAACTAGAACTGAACTAGAAACTGAACTAGAACTGAACTAGAACTGAACTAGAACTGAAACTGAACTAGAACTGAACTAGAACTAACTAGAACTGAACTAGAACTGAACTAGAACTGAACTAGAACTGAACTAGAAACTGAAACTGAACTAGAACTGAACTAGAACTGAACTAGACTGAACTAGAACTGAACTAGAACTGAACTAGAACTGAACTAGAACTGAACTAGAACTGAACTAGAACTGAACTAGAACTGAACTAGAACTGAACTAGAACTGAAACTAGAACTGAACTAGAACTGAACTAGAACTGAACTAGAACTGAACTAGAACTGAACTAGAACTGAACTAGAACTGAACTAGAACTGAACTAGAACTGTACTAGAACTGAACTAGAACTGAACTAGAACTAGAACTGAACTAATTGTAAAACCCTCGTTCTTCGTCCATACATACTTTGATACATGTGAGTAATGTGTTATTTCTATATTTTTTTGTTCTCTTAGATGTGTGTAAGAGTATGTGTATATGCAGGGGTTTATGGCCAACTGTGTACGGAACGTGTAGATATTCACCTTTATAGAATTCTCTTTTCTGTATGTAAACAACACACAATGTCGAGCTTTCAACAGTGAATTAATGTGAACAGTGAAAACACTATTAAGTACTGCTATATCACTAACTATTCTAATACTCTAAATCGTATCTAGCTTTGCCAAGACTAGATGCAGGAAAGAAGATGTATAACGCAGTTGGTCGTTTACTATTCTACAAAACTATTTCTCAGATAAAGAGAATGTGATGAAATGGATTTTGTTTTATTTAATTGAAACGTTCAATGATTTCCAATGAATAACATTGTAAAGTTAATGATATCATTACAGAAAGTTGAAAAAACTTTACACAAATTAGCAGGAATTCTATGTAAGTTTTTTGAAAAACACAATAGATTGACTAGCGTAGCATTTCATTTTTGTTGTATTTCCCTAGAACCGATGTTCCACTGTATTACTTTGTTTTCTAATTGCACATAAAAGCGTGCAAATATTTTGTTCCAGGGAATGTAATTAATTTATTGTGTGCTTGTTTTTTTCCTCTCTGTAACAGTTTTTATGTATTTTGTATTGTTGAAATGGGATTTTATAATAAATGAACAAATGGCAATCAACAGTTTGTTACACCTGAAACAAACACACTGACACATTTACTAACATTATTAAAAACACACTTTAACACACACTAAACATCTACCGTTTGAATTTATGGCCAGTTTACAGGTCTTTTAGTTCTTATTTTCCTTTCCCAAACCATTTTGATAGCAGCCAGCCAGTCAACCAAGCAACCAACCATATTAGACACATTATCGTCAGCATGTTGATGGGTTTTCTTAGTCAAAATTTACGACTTTTATTTTACTGAGGCCATTTAAAGGCTTCTGTTTTTTTCAGTCATTCCTCATTTCATTAATAAATTGTTGAAACCAAAAGCTACAAACAACCAGATGATACTCTAAGTCTCACTACAACAACAACCATTAAATGTTTAGACAACCATTAAGAATTTTGTATTTTATTGTCAAAATTCCCTTTTGTAGGGGAAGAGGAGATGGAAAGAAAAGGGTCATTGTTTCCATTTCGTATTGCAGTGTGTGGTCGCAGGTTGTTTACATTCTCGTACCCATTGCCTCTCTCCTTCTCTTTCTATGGCGCTGAAGGTGCTGAAACTTCGTCAATGCAAACATTTATAGTATTTATTTTATCACAAAGAAAAAATAAACATTCATAATTATTTTATTTGTTTAATGTTTTTTTTAATAAAAATATTTACAATTTATATAAATAAATATTTTTTGCAAAATTTATTACAACAGTTTTGTAAGAATTAAGAGCAGTTTTATGAAATTAATTAAAGTTTATGCAACTGCATTCGTTATGTATGTTGCAGCAAAGTTAGATTATAATTAGAGTAGAGTGGAGTTAGAGTGGAGTTAGAGTAGAGTTATAGTAGAGTTAGAGTAGAGTTAGAATAGAGTTAGAGTAGGGTTAGAGTAGAGTAGAGTTAGAGTCGAGTTAGAGTAGAGTTAGAGTAGAGTTAGAGTAGAGTTAGAGTAGAGTTATAGAGTAGTAGCGTTCGCGTAGCGTTCGCGTCTCGTTCGCGTCGCGTTCGCGTCGCGTTCGCGTCGCGTTCGCGTCGCGTTCGCGTCGCGTTCGCGTCGCGTTCGCGTCGCGTTCGCGTCGCGTTCGCGTCGCGTTCGCGTCGCGTTTCGCGTCGCGTTCGCGTCGCGTTCGCGTCGCGTTCGCGTCGCGTTCGCGTCGCGTTCGCGTCGCGTTCGCGTCGCGTTCGCGTCGTTCGCGTCGGTCGCGTTCGTTTCGTCGCGTTCGCGTCGCGTTCGCGTCGCGTTCGCGTCGCGTCGCGTCGCGTTCGCGTCGCGTTCGCGTCGCGTTCGCTTCCGTTCGCGTCGCGTTCGCGTCCTTTTGTTCTCCCCTTTTGTCCCCCCCTTCCCTCGGCCCCTCTCCCCTTCCCGCCTCTCTCCCTGCCTCCCCCCTCCTGTCCCTTGCCCTTTCCCCCCTCTCTTTTCTCTTCCTGTGCCTCTCTTTTTCTTCCCCTCCTCCCCCCTTCCCCCTTCAGTTAAAAAACTAAAAAGAATGCCAACTGTATACAAACACACACTATTTGCACGTAAGATTCAAACAAATGAACGTATAAGATCATTACAGTTTACTTAAAATTCCCAGACAATACAGTTCAACTTAGACGCATATAATTCAGTTTCAAATTAATGGACGTATTACCAAATGATGATGAATTATTACTTATGGAATTGGAGCGCAGAGATGGAATTTATTCCTTTATATTTCATGAACTAGAAACCAATAAATTGCAAACAGAGGAACAACACAAAATTAAGGAAAATAATACAAGTGCAATGTTGAACGAAAGTCATATTAAATGGGAGCTTAAAAGTGAAATTACAACTAAGAAAACCCCATTACTTACGGCAACCTTAAATTCTTCACAGCCTTACGCTTATGCAGATTGGGGTTTTAAAAATTCAACAACAGTTTTCAGCAACTCCTGGCATCATACGCAAGCAACAAAAACTGCGTATCCATCATTTCAGCAAGTTTGTTCATTGCGTTCTCTGAATGTACGCAGAGCTAAATCACCCTTTTCTCATATTCACACGCCTTTGGTACGCAATAGACGTCATGAACTTAAAGAAACTGAAGAGTATAAGAATTATATGGATGGTATTACTAAAATAGCGGACTTAAGACAACTATTTCCGTTGGATCCCGATGTTCATGCACCTTTTGCAGAGGACAGTGAAGAAGATGTAAGGAATTCCAAGCCAAGGAGATTGGTGGTGAAGGGCTCCCAATTTTTAAAATGAAAATTTTAAATTTTTATTTAATTAATTTAACGATAATAAAAAATCTACATATTAAAGAAAAAATATTTTTCCTGCAATATGCAAGCAACTTATTATCAAGCAATGTTATAGAAGATAACGTAAAAAGTTCATTATTGGGAAGCGATCGAAAATTTAACTAAAATGTAAATTTCTTTCAGAATTGATCAAATAATTAAGATGAAACTTTGATCAATCTGGGAACTAAAAATTTTAATAAATATAAAATACGATCGATCAGATCTATTATCAACAACTTTATTCAAAATAAATGTGTTGATCAATCCGAAAGAAAGACTTATTAAAAAAACTGACTGGAGAGAAATGTATTCCTAGATCAATAACATAAAATTTTACTTACGAAGAAATTTGAAAAAAACACGTAAAAAAATTAATCGATCAATTAGATTGGTTTAGTAATCGTAAATTTTACTTAAGAAAAAATAATCAAATGGGGAAAATGAATTAGTGAAGAAGTTAGGGAAGAGTTAGGGTAGAATACAGTTGAGTAGAGTTATGTTCTGGTAGAGTTGGAGTAGAGTTAAGAGTTAGAGTAGAGTTAGAGTGAGAGTAGAGTTAGAGTAGAGTTAGAGTAGAGTTAGAGTAGAGTTAGAGTAGAGTTGGAGTAGAGTTGAGTAGAAGTAGAGTTAGAGTAGGAGTTAGAGTAGAGTTAGGAGTTAGAGTTAGAGTTAGAGTAGAGTGCGGAGTGGAGTAGAGTTAGAGTAGAGTTGAGTAGAGTTAGAGTAGAGTTTGAGTAGAGTTAGCAGTAGAGTTTGAGTAGGAGTTAGAGTAGAGTTAGAGTAGAGTTAGAGTAGAGTAGAGTAGAGTTAGAGTAGCGTTAGAGTAGAGTTAGGAGTAGAGTTAGAGTAGAGTTAGAGTAGAGTTAGAGTAGAGTTAGGAGTAGAGTTCGATTAGGAGTTAGAGTAGAGTTAGAGTAGGAGTTAGAGTAGAGGTTAGAGTAGAGTTAGAGTAAGAGTTAGAGTAGGAGTTAGAGTAGAGTTAGTAGAGGTAGAGTTAGAGTTAGCGTTAGAGTTAAGAGTAGAGTAGAGTAGAGTAGAAGTAGAGTTAGAGTAGAGTTAGAGTAGAGTGATTTAGAGTAGAGTTAGAGTAGAGTTAGAGTTAGCAGTAGAATTGGAGTAAGTCATATTTAGAGTAGAGTAGAGACAGACAGGAATTGTATTTATTTAGAGTAGACTCTGAAAGAAATTGTGGTTATTTTTCAATTCAACAGTCCCACAAGTTAAATGATATAACACCCCATAACTATTCTCCCTCATTAGTAATTACATATTAATTTCCTAACGTTTATTCTAGCTATCACAACAATACCTCTATTTACATAAAAAAACATACTTAATTGCATTTTATTTAACGATGATGATGCTTGACTAATTTCATCCATCTAAATGATTCGACATCAAGTCATAAAAATTATTTAATCATTAATTTTAATAACCATCATTTTGGGGGCTCAATCGAGTACATGTATGTATGTATGTAAGATCAATTAGCAAAGTCAGCCTATTTAATGTGAAACGATAATGATATACAAAACGCTATACAAATGATATGATATTAAAGTATGTGTAATAAATCTTTATATGTGTGTTTAAAAGAAGCATTAGCTTTCTTATCTAAATTAAGGACTATTTGTTTAAATATTCATCTTATAGAATTTAATGTTTCTTTTTTTTGTGGTTCCTTAAATGCCGCATTATGATGATGATAAAAACTATTAAAATATTTATAGGTTTGAAAGGAGGAACAAAAAAAAAAAGACACACACTCAAGAATATCATTTGTTAAGTTAAGGCTTGAAAATTTTTAGAGGTAGACTGGTTATAATAGAGTTTTAAAGGAATGCAATTATGGAAACCATATTAGGTGCATACCAATCTTGAAATTGGAGCTGTAAACAATAACAATTTTTCACCTATTGTTCTTGCATGATATTTTATGAAATTTCTGCCTGTTTAGAATAACCCATCTATTTAAATCTCTGCCAATGTTAATAGGAGTAGAAGTACACAAGTATATATGTACATATATTCTACTGCATACACTTACTAGGACTAAATTACTTTTTACTTTTTGTTCGTCTTACTTTCTTTGTATCGCTTGTAATCTTAAGTACAATATATTTTTCCATCCAGCCATGCAACCAACCATCACTAGCTCTCACTTTTATTCATTGACTAAACTCAAGCTCAACCCTCATCAGAGTCATCATTAATTTATCATTTGCCAAAGACACCTGTGTTTAAGGTGTTAACATTTAATCAGACACTTGATTTGTAAAGATTATGGACAGCCAGAAAAAGATACAACTACAGCAAAGACAAGAAAAAGCTAAAATTTATTCCCAACATTCAAGATAAAGCACATAAAAATCCGAAAAAAAAATGAACGAAAATCTTGAAAATCATGCAGGAGAATAAACAACATTAAGGATTGAAAAATCCTTCAAAATGTGTTAAACGAAATAGAAAAAATTAATGTAAATTTAATGAATGTTAAAAGCTTTAACAATAAATGATTATCTTTTTTTTTTTTTGTATTTAAAATTTATCTATTAAACAAATAGTGTGATAATTAAAAAAGGAAAATTAAATATTGTTGCATCAAGGACAATGAAAGTACAAAGACTGTTGTCTTACTGCCTGCATAGTGTCAGTTGCAAAGTGATATCTTAAAAGAATTTCGAAGTATAACATGGTCGAAGAAATAGTCAGATAACTAATGAAATTAAAGAATGAAAATTGTTTATTGCAGGTATAAGAAAAAATGTGAAGGTTTACTAGCTATACTTGTCCACCATCAGATTTAGAAAAGCTTCAAAGTATTATCCATTTGACTGAGTATTCAGCTTACTAAGCTACAAGCAAGTAATAATAAGTAATTTACAAAGTAAATAATAGCGTAACCTAATTTAACTTAAAACTTTTATAATAATATGAACATTTTTCAAAATACTGCATAAATAGGGAATCATTTAATTTCTGGGCTAAAACACTTGATTGCACTGACAGATTTCAATAAACAATTCCTTTGACAAAATATTTAGTTTTATATTTTTTCATTTACGTTTAATAATCGAAACATTTTTATTTATATTTTATTCCATTTAAAGTAGCGAAGTAATTAAAAACAAAAAACACAATACAAAAACAACAACTTACACACTTAACCACATTTCTATGATATATTTTTGTTTTTGTAATATTTGTTTCCTTCTGGCCATCTACACAATAATCCCTGGCAGCAGAATAAAACTCAAACACTCACACTTACACACACACAATAACGAAAAAAAACCAACATTTATAATTCATGTATCGTAGTGCAACTGGAGAAACTCTTAATTGCTACATAGAAAATTTATGAATAAAATACGAATATTTTCAGTGTGGCAATGGTAGTTTTTATTTTTATTATTATTGTTGTTGTTGTTCTTTTTTTGGTGAGTCTGTAATTATGGCAACATAAAATTGTGTGTTGATTGTACCGGGGAAAGCAAGTGAAATAGAAAAAATATAAATAAAAACAAAAAACAGTGGAAACGGTTATGAGACGACAAATCGTATGAGTACTGGAGATTAATTACAAAACAAAACAAAAACCATCCAACCAAAAATGCCGAAAAAATACAATAACAACAAAAAAATGTATCACTCATACGTCAATGGACACAGAAACAACAATATTTTTTTTAGATTAGTTAGTAAATATCTAAAAGGTGATAACGAATGTTGAAAGCCCTTTTTGTGTATTTGGAATAAATTAATTGAGGTATTGATTATGTAAGCTCTAGCTCAATTCAAATTCAACTGAACTTTAACTCTACTCTAACTCTACTCTAACTCTACTCTAACTCTACTCTAACTCTACTCTAACTCTACTCTAACTCTACTCTAACTCTACTCTACTCTAACTCTACTCTAACTCTACTCTAACTCTACTCTAACTCTACTCTAACTCTACTCTAACTCTACTCTAACTCTACTCTAACTCTACTCTAACTCTACTCTAACTCTACTCTAACTCTACTCTAACTCTACTCTAACTCTACTCTAACTCTACTCTAACTCTACTCTAACTCTACTCTAACTCTACTCTAACTCTACTCTAACTCTACTCTAACTCTACTCTAACTCTACTCTAACTCTACCTAACTCTACTCTATTCTATTCTATTCTATTCTATTCTATTCTATTCTATTCTATTCTATTCTATTCTATCTATCTATTCTATTCTATTCTACTCTACTCTACTCTACTCTACTCTACTCTACTCTACTCTACTCTACTCTACTCTACTCTACTCTACTCTCTACTCTACTCTACTCTACTCTACTCTACTCTACTCTACTACTCTACTCTACTCTACTCTACTCTACTCTACTCTACTCTACTCTACTCTACTCTACTCCACTCTACTCCACTCTAACTCTACTCACTCTAACTCTACTCTAACTCTACTCTAACTCTACTCTACTCTACTCTAACTCTACTCTAACTCTACTCTAACTCTACTCTAACTCTACTCTAACTCTACTCTAACTCTACTCTAACTCTACTCTAACTCTACTCTAACTCTACTCTAACTCTACTCTAACTCTACTCTAACTCTACTCTAACTCTACTCTACTCTACTCTAACTCTACTCTAACTCTACTCTAACTCTACTCTAACTCTACTCTAACTCTACTCTACTCTACTCTAACTCTACTCTACTCTACTCTAACTCTACTCTAACTCTACTCTAACTCTACTCTAACTCTACTCTACTCTACTCTAACTCTACTCTAACTCTACTCTAACTCTACTCTAACTCTACTCTACTCTACTCTACTCTAACTCTACTCTAACTCTACTCTACTCTACTCTACTCTACTCTAACTCTACTCTAACTCTACTCTACTCTACTCTACTCTACTCTACTCTACTCTACTCTACTCTACTCTACTCTACTCTACTCTACTC